GTCCACCAGTGTTGAGTGGGGACCCCCACCCCCACCCACGACCAAGGATGGTAACATCCCTCACCCTGGGGGTCCAAACAGCCCCAGCCAGTCTTGTTAGGATTGAACCGAAGTCTGTTTTGCCTCATCCAGACTCAATATATGCTAATATATACGGTGTGTGTGTGTGTGTGTGTGTGTGTGTACATATGTATGTATGAGAGCCAGTTTGGTGTAGTGGTTAAAGGTGCTGGGCTAGCTGGGTGACTTTGGGCCACTCACTCTCTCTTAGCCTTAGAAAGAAGGTACCGGCAAGCCATTTCTGAAAAAATATTGCCCAAAACAATTGTTCCTCTAGTTGCCAGGGGTCAAGACTGACTTAAAGGCATAAATAATTTAATTAAACAATTTAACAACAGTAAATAATTATAGAGAAAACTATACCATAGACAGCATCAGAAAGGTCTAAGTGAACAACTACAATGAACACAATGCCTCCCTAAATTGGTTCAGAAAATTAAATGCTACATAGTTATCTGAGAAATATATTTGCTTTTCTTTACAACTGAGATACCTTCTTGGATAGAGCTTGATCTTTCTGGTATTTCAGGCATTTTATCTTCTATTTCTTCATCATAACTCTGCTTTGTTGTGGGTTCTTCAGATGCTTCATTATTGTCTTCTTTTTCTTCCTCTTCCTGAAAATCTGTTTCTTCATGGTCTTCATCTATTTCACCTTTTTCTTAAAATTTTGAAAAATATTAGAGAAGAAAGATTTTGAAATCCAATAAACAGCCTCAATTTCATTGTCAAACATCCATTTAAAAGAGAGAAACAGATTGCATCTTTCCTATTTTAATAGCATATACAGTGGTACTTAAAAGTTTGTGAACCCTTTTGAATTTTCAATATTTCTGCATAAATATGACCTAAAACATGATCTGTTCTCCACACAAGTCCCAACACTAGATAAGGAGAACCCAATTAAACAAATGAATCAAAAACATTTACACTTGTTCATTGATTTATTGAGGAAAATGATCCAAAGCCACACATTCAGGTGTTTCAATCAATGGGATAATAATCAGGGGTGAATGTGACAGGTCCTACGTTATTTAAACAACAGAACTCTGGATATTCACAATCAAAGTGGCCTTTGCAACAGATATGCAGAAGTGTGTTATGGCTCAAACAAGAGAGATTTCTGAGGACCTTCAAAAAAAAAGCTGTTGATGCTCACCAGCTGGAAAAGGTTACAAAACTATTTCCAAAGAGTTTGGACTCCACCAGTCCATTGTCAGGCAGATCATGTAAAAACGGAGGCAATTCAACACCATTGTTACCCTCCCCAGGAGTGGTTGACCAATGAAGATCACACCAAGAGCAATACTTTGTGAGGTCTCAAACAACCCCAGGGTAATGTCTCAGGAACTAAAGGCCTCTCTTGCATTGGCAAATGTCAGTGTTCGTGAGACTACCATCAGGAGAACGCTGAAAAACAATGGTGTGCATGGTAGGGTTACAAGGAGAAAGCTACTACTCTCCCCAAAACACACTGCTGCCTGTCTAGAGTTTGCGAAAGACCATGTGGGTAGGCCAGAAGGCTATCGGAAGAATCTTCTGTAGATGGATGAGGGAAAAATAGAACTTTTTGGCTTGAATGAAAAGTATTACAATGGGGCCAAAAAGTATTTAGTCAGCCACCAATTGTGCAAGTTCTCCCACTTAAAAAGATGA